TGCATTTGAAAAACTGAAGATGGCCATGTGTTCTACTCCACTGTTGGCTCTATCTGACTTTTCTAAACCTTTTGTGTTAGGAACAGATGCCACACTAGAGCAATACGGGCAGTTCTCATGCAAAAGGGAGGCCAATTTCCTTCCTGAGTTAGGTGTTGGGGCCAAAGAACCAGGGGCCTTCTATATATAAAAAGGAGCTATTGTCTTTAATCACTGCAGTGACAAAATGGAAACATTGTTTTCTGGGGTTTCATTTTATTATTAAAACAGACCATGAAAGTTTGAAATACCTCTTGGAGAAGAAGATTTCCACCCCTTTGCAGCAAAAATGGCTCACCAAGATACAGGGAATAGGTTATGAAACACAATTCAAGAGGGGGAAAGAAAACTTGGTAGCTGATGCCCTCTCTAGGAGAATTTCAAAGGAAGATCCTCTGGTTAAGGGGAAGGGAACTGCTGCTTCCATATTGGCTTTGTCAGCAATTAAACCAGTATGGCTATCTGAAGTTCTGATTCTTATACAAGGGATAGCAAGGCCACTTCCTTGTTGATGGCTCTAGCTCTGAAAGCAATGGAGATGCCTGAGTATTCTTATAAGGATGGTATTATCAAATTGGAGAAGGCAGCAGATTGAGGAAAAAATTGCTGGAGTAGCCATTTCACCTGGCTACCCTCCACCTCAGTTAGCCATTTCACCGGTTGAAAATGGTCAACGAATTTAGTCAAGGTAGAATTGGTCATAATTTAAGATAATTTAATCTTCCAAATACATGTGTAGATCGATAAAACTTATTGAAACACGATTAAAAAAGTGCCTTCCTATAATAGGGCGTATGGTATGAAATAAAATTATGGAGAAACTCACAAATATGTCTTCAAAATTTTATTGGTTGTCATGGTTTATGGTGTTCTAAAAGTGTAAGATTTCTTGAATTCACATTTTCACCATGAATCCCATTTAATTAAGAGAAAGAAATCATTGTGATGTTCTTTTTGGTGGTGAAATCGTGTTGATGAATGTAAAGAATTACAGATTATATTCAACAGATCACCAAAATATTCCTACTTCTAATTAATTGGCAGAGTGTTATGTCGATGACTCATTGAATCAATACGGTCCTAAAGTTGTAATATTGTTTTCACAATTTAATTTTTTGCAAATTCGAGTTGCAATAGAAAGATAATCCTTTGAGAAATATAAAATTCTTGTACATGTTTAAGGTATCTAAAGAAAACTGCCATCAAATTCCGTCACGTCACATTCTTTAACTATAGGCTAACTTGGTCTAGAAACCAAGTCAACTGATTAAGACTACAAAGAGGCGCTCATTGCATTAAATTCCGTATGCAACGAATAATGAGAAACCAAAACAATACGTCAAGTACAAAATGACATCTGTTTCTATGTCTTCCTTTCTCCTAAACCACAAATAGCGACTTCTATTCCTTAAGTCTCCCGTGTCAACGTACTGCTCCTTATTAGTGGCAATGGCTGAAAAGGATGGCATGCTACCCCTTGAAAGTTTTGTAACTTTGGCAAATCAGCTAATTCGCCAACGGAGATTTTAATGATGTGTTTTTCCAGCGGCAGCTGGCTAATTATCCAAGGACCAGTCACGAATTTGATATTTCTTAAAAATTGCATCGTTGCAGCACTATAAGTCCTACTCACTCAATACGGAAATCAGTATCAATTGCAGCTCCACTTTAGTGTATCTTGGCTTTGTGCTACAACCAAAATACAAAACGAGCTGCACAGTTCTTTGCCCCATCTAAGGCTCAGACAGATTACTTACAGTTAACTAACAAATGAAATTAGAAAGCAGAAGCTTTAATCAATCTTTATTCATGATAGCTTTGATGGCTATTTCCACTTTCATTTGGATGTTCAGTTGTTGGAATATGCAACTTCACTGTCGTTTTTTAGTACTAAACTAAATGAATTAGTTGTTGAATAAATCTAGTTGTTAGGAAAAGTTTCACATTTAGTATCTATTGACAAGTTAAACTATTTTGAATTACAATTCTAGATTTGTTAGTGAAAGATTATGTTAGTTTATTTCTTAAATGAGCTCTTTGGAGCCAAATTCTTTACAAAAATAGACCTTCGAACTGGTTATCACCAGATTAGAATTAAACCTGAAGACATTCCTAAAACGGCTTTTCGTACTCACCAAGGGCATTTTTAGTTTTGGTAATGCCCTTTAGGCTTACCAGTGCCCCAGCACCTTTCAAGGTCTCATGAACTCCATTTTTGCCCCTTACCTCAGAAAATTCATATTAGTCTTTTTTGATGACATACTCATATATAATCCTGATCTCTAATCCTACCTCGAACACCTCAAAAAAGTCCTGGAAATCAGTAGTTGCATTTGAAATACTGAAGTTGGCCATGTGTTCTACTCCACTGTTGGCTCTATCTGACTTTTCTAAACCTTTTGTGTTAGGAACAGATGCCTCACTAGAGCAATACGGGCAGTTCTCATGCAAAAGGGAGGCCAATTTCATTCCTGAGTTAGGTGTTGGGGCCAAAGAACCAGGGGCTTTCTATATATAAAAAGGAGCTATTGTCTTTAATCACTGCAGTGACAAAATGGAAACATTGTTTTCTGGGGTTTCACTTTATTATTAAAACAGACCATGAAAGTTTGAAATACCTCTTGGAGAAGAAGATTTCCACCCCTTTGCAGCAAAAATGGCTCACCAAGCTATAGGGAATAGGTTATGAAACACAATTCAAGAGGGGGAAAGAAAACTTGGTAGCTGATGCCCTCTCTAGGAGAATTTCAAAGGAAGATCCTCTGGATAAGGGGAAGGGAAATGCTGCTTCCATATTGGCTTTGTCAGCAATTAAACCAGTATGGCTATCTGAAGTTCTGATTCTTATACAAGGGACAGCAAGGCCACTTCCTTGTTGATGGCTCTAGCTCTGAAAGCAATGGAGATGCCTGAGTATTCTTATAAGGATGGTATTATCAAATATAAAGGGAGGATCTATATTGGAGAAGGCAACGGATTGAGGCAAAAATTGCTGGAGTAGCCATTTCACCTAGCCACCCTCTACCTCAGTTAGCCATTTCACCTGTTGAAAATGGCCAACAAATTTAGCCAAGGTAGAATTGGTCATAATTTAAGATAATTTAATCTTTCAAATACACGTGTAAATTGATACAACTTATTCAAACACGATTAAAAAAGTGCCTTCCTATAATAGGGAGTATGATATGAAATAAAATAACGGAGAAACTCACAAATATGTCTTCAAAATTTTATTGATTGTCGTGGTTTATGAAGTTCTAAAAGTGTAAGATTTCTTGAATTCACATTTTCACCATGAATCCCATTTAACTAAGAGAAAGAAATCATTTTGATATTTTTTTTGGTGGTGAAATCATGTTGATGAATGGAATGATATTACAGATTATATTCAACAGATCACCAAAGTATTCCTACTACTAATTAATTGGAAGAGTGTTATGTCGATGACTCATTGAGTCTATATGGTCCTAAAGTTGTAATATTGTTTTCACAATTTAATTTTAGCAAATTCGAGTTGCAATAGAAAGATAATCCTTTGAGAAATATCAAATTCTTGTACATGTTCAAGGTACCGAAAGAACACTGCCACCAAATATATGGGCTTCATTTTCCTGTGCCATAAAATGTCATCAAATATATGGGCTTCATTCTTGTGCTATAAAATCGTTTTGTCATATTTGATTGGCTTAATCTAATTCGATACTTCATTTCCATTACAAATTATACACGGAAAAGTAACAAGCAAATTCGAATTACATCGATATGACCCTTCAGAAAACTAAAAAGAGTTGGCCAAAAAGATATTTGCATATAAATCCTCAATGTTAAGGAGGTTGGCCATTATGGTCCCTAATGTTCCTCCACAAGACAAATTTGGTCTCTGAACTTCTTAATTCTTACCATTTGAGTACAACTAATGGATCGAATTTCGCAATTCCTAACGGAGGTAACACATGTGACTATGTTAGTTAGATATAGTGCCAAAAAGAAAATTAAGTTGCAATTTTGATCTGTAACCGTTAAAGCATGAATCGATATGTTCCTGAGCATGTCATAACTTTTTTAAGGTAAAGTTTATCATACTAATCTGAATTAGTTTGTTATTTTGAAAAATTATATTGGAAAATGAATAATTTTAAGATCTAACTGGGATTGTTATATAATAATCAAAATCAAGAAGAAAGAGTGGTGAACTAAAAAGTGGAATGTAATCCGATTCTCCCAAAATTTGGACCGTTAGATTACAAAATCCATTACAATCATTCTAAAGAATAGTGGAACTTGAAAACTACACTGCAATATAAACTAAAAGTTGGCAGGGACCAAGTTGTGCAAGTCACTTCTAGGTAGTGGAGATACAGTACTCACTAATCATTACTTCACTTTTTCTATAGAAATTTTTTAAAATTTTTTTTTTTGGTTATATTTCAAAAAAGACCACAAGGAAATATTGTAGAATTTGGCCTTGTTATTACCCCATTTCAATGGTCTGAGTCGCAACTATCCTTCGACTAAGTCAACAATTTCTTTACTCTTCTTTTTCCCTCACTGAAACAAATCATTGACATTTTGGTTGAATTAATTCTTACACTCTTTTCTGTTTCTTTCTTATCCTTATAACTTTTTTATCTGCTCCATTTTATTATTCATTTCTTGACTATTTTCCTTTAATTTTTTAAGCGGTGGTGAACGATTTCAATTTGCTAACAAATTCACCAAGACACGTTACAAAAAGCTAGAAAAAAAAGTAAAGACAGTCGTAGCTTTTTTAATGTAACCGTTGTTCAACGGCTTAATACGCGGCAACAAAATTCAAAATCTAATAAAGGTAAAAACAGCTTTTAGTCCTTTACCTTCTCTTGAACTATTTTATCCAATACACATAAATCACCTTGTCATTTGTCAATGTCTTCCCATCAAACATTTGTTTAGCGACATTATCTCAAAATTTTCAAGCAAAAATGGGCTCTTGCATTAGCAAATGCAGGCCAAAAAAGAAGTTCAAGAGAGACTGCAATTGCATGGAAGAAGATTTTAGCCATGTTCAAGAAAAGCTTGTGATTTCTCAACCACCTTTACCAATTCAGAATCCAGTTTCCCCATCCCCTTCTGTTGCTTCTAGTACTTCATTTTCTTCTGTTTCTGGTGCTAATAGTAGCACTAGCAGTGGATTTTCAATGGCTTCGTCGTTATCATCTTCATCGTCGTGTTCATCTTCGATTCCGGTCTCCAAGGATAGGTCATTTTCCAACGAGTTCTTGTGGTCTTGTGTGAAAGAAAATCCACAAATAATTGGCAGGAATTTGATCAAAGGAAATCTTGAGAAGTCTAATATGAACATGTCAAGTAAAGTTCATCCTTGCAAGTTTGATTTGCCCATCAAACAAGCGATTCCAGAGAGGCATGGGGGATCAACACCAAAGAAAAGAGCTCGAGCAAATTCGCCCACGCTTGTCAGACAAAAAAGCTTCAGGAAAGAGCCTGAACATAAGGTGAGTTCTTCTCCTACATATCAACTTCCAAGCAGAACTTTGATGATGCGATCGCCTTCACCAAGTCGAAGATTCACTGGCGACAGCTTTAGAGATTCACCGATGAATACAACAAAAGAGATTTACTCCAGAAGAGCAGCTGTTCCTAAAGCAAATTCCATTAATCCTATTCCTACATCTTCTTCAATCATGAGGAAAGACAGTTTTAGGATTCCACCTAGTCCAAGTTATGATGTGGGTAAAAGCAACACAATCTTGAAGAGTAGGGAGGCTTTGATCACTCAACAGATTGGTTCAAGGAATTCTCCAATTGCCGTTGGACACAAGGAGGAAAACCAAGATGTGGAGTCAATGGTGGTGGAAGATGTTAACAATCCGCTTATTGCCTTGGATTGTTTTATTTTCCTGTAAAATTTGATTCAGTGTGGATATACGCTCTTTATGGTGTGATAATCATGTCTTTTTCTTTTTCTTTATTTGTAAACAGATTGTTAGTAGCATGTTTACTGAAAATCTACAATCACGTAGATGAAACAGAGATCAAATGCAGCTTTTTTTTTTTTTTTTGGTTGAATTGACAGAAATTGAGTGAATGTCTGGATTTCTTATGTTATTGTAAAACAGAAATTCCCTGGAATGGATGCAAGTCATGCTAAAACCAAGGATTATATTCCTAAATCGATCTCTACTTTAGTATTCTTTCATTTGCAGCTATTAGCAGTTGGTTGATCAGTTTACAAGATAAATGAAGCGGAGTACTATACCAAATTTTTTTTATTTTAAGAGTTGATGTTGTTGTGGGACTGATAGTTTAGTGATGAGATGACTGCACCAGTATATTGGAACTTTAAACAGAGGGGAAAAAGAAAAGCACAGCATAAGAAGAAAAGGTATTCATCGCCTATTAGATATATTGGAAGCAAATCAGTGACAGTTCATGGCAATGTCATATTTTCACAGTTGCAGTTCCAGGGCTCAAATTTTGCAATAACATTTTAAAGAAAATCAGATTAATAAGGGTACATTAACTTAGGAAAAGACCGTATGTAACTGTTAGAAAGGTTTTCCAAATCACAGAAGCTTTCAGATATATTTATCAATAAATCAAGATTACGGAAAAGAAGAGTAGCAGAAAAGGCACATTGAGTTTTTGTCTTGCCTAATTTGGTACTTTAGTCCTTTTCTTTTATATTTGTCTCAATTAGTCCCTGCAACTTTTATTTTCTGCCATTTGCTCCCTTCCCTATTCAAAGTTAGCCAACTTATTTCACATGAAAGAGTGACTCTGAAAAGTAAGTAGACAAGAAAAATCTATGCAATCATGGGCTGCTAATTGAGCTATAAAATTTTTAGGATATAAATTAACCCCATGGTCAAGTAGATTTTCATGTAACCTTCTTACAGTTTCAAAATCCATATACAACTTTCTCGTGCTATATATTAAAGTGTCAAATTGATGGAAATCGCCCTTCCCAATTGAACAAGTTGAAATTTCAGCATTACCTCATTTGAAAACTAAAATGATTGCTGCGGCAAGAAATATAAGTGTGTTATAAATTATATTTTGTTCCCTTATAGTTTTGCACTTTCTACGTAAACTTCATGTAGTTTCAAATCCATAATCAACTATGGTTAACGAACAATTTTCATATTGACATTTTGGCACCCTTGACATTTCAATTAATGTCTTTAAGAAAGAAAAATTCCATTACTTCAACACTTTCATTCAAAGCATAGGAGACTTATGTGTAACTTTTGAGACCATAAAAATGTGATGAAACATTAAACCATAGGATGCTAACTTCTAAAGTATAAATTACCCTAATTTGGTATCTTATTCATGAATTACTAATAGAATAGCTCTTAATAACAACGAAATTATGTGTTTGCATGCTTTTTAGACTTCACTTCTACGCATTAATCCTTTATTATGGTTGAAAATGCCACTATAATATGTTTATTTATTTATCTACTTGTTGCCTCTGAATGGCTTCTAATGGTTTTCTTTGAAGTGCAAATGCAATTTTGGCAATCAAATGTGAGGTACATCGATCCATGTAAATGTGACAATATTGTCTAAATATTAGTAATAGATAAGGGTCAAACTATAAACAATTAAGAAATGGAGGCACCAAATTGGAAGAAGGCCAAAGAAAAGAACTTAAAATTTAACAAACGAGAATTCACCTTTTCTTTTTTCCTTTTGTTGGGAGAAGAATTGCCCTTTTATTGCTGTCGCCCTTCACAAGATGGCACGCCAACATTCTAGACATGCTTCGATGCTTTCAGAAACGCACTATTTTACACCTATTATATACTATACCTTAAAAAAAAAAGTTCGTGATAATTATTTCCAAATTTTATCTGCACCAGTCTGCAGTAACTAAAAACGTGAAATTATAGCTGATTTTGTAAATTTTCGGCGTTTACATTCAGAGCCTTTCAGCATAAGAATTTTCAAACTCCTAACTTCAAGTCATTTTTTCAGACCTAGATCAACGACGAAAACCATGAAAAAGGAAGGAAAAAAACACTAATTTGTGAAAAGATTTTGACTTGTGCATACACATTTATACCGCCATAGAGGCTAGTTCATGACTTCAATTCATAACGCTGAGAGAAAAGCTTACAAGCAGTGAATCCAGCTCCTTTTACTAGATTCTTGTACTCCTTACATGTCCTCTCTTTCCCTCCAGAAGTAACAATCAACATAGTAACGTCAAAACGAAAACCAAATTTGGACACGAGATCTGTCTTTGGGGATTCCCGAAGTATGGTCTCGATAATTATCACTTTGCCGGAATCAGTCAATAGCAGATTTCATCCGGCCAGTTGTGAAGCGCATTCTGCACAAGTAACCTTGGAAGTGGTTATGGTAAAAGTACATAACCCCATCTATCTACAGTAAGATTACTTTCAAAAGTATATTTAAGTTTCTGAATTTTCACTGGCATATATTCTTTTTCATATGAAAAGGAATTAGGAATTCTTCTTAGATCTGTTTCCAATTGCCCTACATAAAAACGTTGCCAACTGCCAATTTTTCATGCATTCACCTAAATGGCGCTTGATTCAAGGGAATGACCACAACTAGACTGGCAATACTAACAAAATTGGAAAAAAGAATACACTTTAAACTGGGTCATTTGAGAAAAAAAAAGGCAAATTACACTTTACTCCCCTGTGATTTAGTATTTTTGATATAACCCCCCTATGGTTTCAAAAACTATACATAACCCTCTCATAATTTGGATTGAAGTGTCAAAGTGACGGAACTAGTCATTCGTAATAAAGTCACCTAAAATATCAAAAATACCCTTATGTAAAGTTGAAAATTATTTATTAACCAAGGGGGGTTATGTGTATATTTTGAAAACAATAAGGGGTTATATGGTAAAGTATTAAACTATAAGGAGGTTATATGATAAAATATAAAAATCATAGGGGGTTAGTGTGTCATAAATTTATAAGGGTAATTTTGATATTTTTAAAAGTTCCATTACAAATGACTATTTCTGTCACTTTGATACTTTAATCCAAATCATGAGGAGGTTTTATATAGCTTTTCAAACCATGGGAAGGTTATCCAAAAAACACCAAATTATAAACTCAGTAAAGAGATAAATACATTTCAAAAATCAAATCACATTATTTAACATAATATGTACTTCCAAGTATGTATTAGTACAACGCACTTAAAGCATTCAAATAAGTGCTTTAATTTAAAGGTCTACTGCATGCATTACTTTTTTATTAGCTACTAAAATCCCAAACGAGTCCTAAGAAATAAATAAAAAAGGGCAAATTACACTTTACCCCTGTAGTTTAGTATTTTTATACATAACTCCCCTATAGTTTTAAAAACTATACATAACCCTCTCATGGTTTGAATTAAAGTATCAAAGTAATTGAATTTACAATCCATAATGAAGTCATCTAAAATATCAAAAAATACCCCCATGTAAAGTTGAAAATTATTTATTAACTACAGGAGGGTTATGTGTATATTTTGAAAACCATAAAGTTGTTATATGGTAAAGCATTAAACCATAAGGTGTTATATAGTAAAACATAAAACCATACAAAATTAGTATATCATATATATTATGTTTATATATTTTGGTCACTTCAGCCATTTTAATTTTTAAACAAGTGTAATTTGGATATTTTTAAAGGTTCCGTTACTAATGATCATTTTGACACTTTAATCCAAACTATAAGAAGATTATATATACTGGCTGTATCCAAATCGTCAAATGGAGACGATGGTCCAAATCGTCAGCCACCATATAATATATCTATACTAGCTGTATCCAACTTCAACCCTCCCCTTGTTTGCTCGACTAGTGGCCTAGCACTATTTATGGCTTGATGAATATGTCCATAGCCAGAGATTTTAGAGATCGATTTCTCTGCATAGTTGTCAAGCTTCAGTGCAAATCTGTTTTTGAACCATGTCGATTCTTAACTTCAAACCATAGAATCCTCTCTAACAACGACAAAAAATGCCTCTTTGTCGTCCTTCAAAATGGCTTTGAACCTTAATGCATTTGGGTCCTTGGAAAGTTTTTTCTCCAAGGAAATGCTCAAACTCTTTCTCGTGATTTTTTACTCTGAAAGGGTGTAACTTAAACAACTCATCGGGTTTATCCATCCACAAGGATATTGAACTTCGATTAAGAAGCAAAAAGAGTAATTGGTCAATGGTGAAATGTTGCCGTATAAACTTGGTTAGTGTAGCTCTATACCCTACTTTATCATGAGGCAAAAATGATATTTCAGTCCTTGATATTTATGGTCTAGACCCAATTGGTCCTAAATGTTTGGGCCAGGAAAAAATATTGCTAAAGCACTCAATTTAACAGGATGTCTAATTAATAATTGGGTAAATTACAATAACTGCCTTGTGGATTCACTGATTGTCACATCATTCCTCTAATATTTCAAAATATCTACATGACCTCTTTATGATTTTATGTAAAGTGAAAATTTGATGAAAAATAACTTCCATAATGTGATTAGTTGAAATGCCAACATAGTCTTTATCTAAGTAGTAAATTGAACAACAGTTTGACCCACTTGCATAAAATCATGGGAGAATTATGTGGATAAAAACTAAAATCACATGGAGGGAAAGCGGATATTTATACAAATCAGTGTGGAGATTAAGTGAATATTATGATCATCATGCACAATATTAGAATGTGTTTGGTTCAGTCGCTGTAACTGTGTTAATATTTTCTATCTGTTTTCAACTTTATACAAAATCACAAGAGGGTTATGTAGTTATTTTGAGACTTTGGGGGCCACGTAGCAATATAAAATGCCACAGGAAGATTATATGTAACTTATCCTTAATGTTTTGAGGTAATGGAATGTAATCCTTTATTCAATTTTGACTAAAGGGGTTC